AGATCGAGGACATGGCCATGATGACCCACCTGCACGAGCCCGCTGTGCTGTACAACCTCAAGGAGCGTTACGCAGCCTGGATGATCTACGTGAGTTCATTCTCATGGCCTTCTGCTCATGCAGCTAATGAATAGTTTTGAAAAATAGTAGATCACTAAGGTCCCCATAAGATGATTATATTCCTTTTCTTTTTCTTTTTGGTGTAGACCTACTCAGGCCTCTTCTGCGTCACGGTCAACCCCTACAAGTGGCTGCCGGTGTACAATGCAGAGGTGGTGACAGCCTACCGAGGCAAGAAGCGTCAGGAGGCCCCGCCCCACATCTTCTCCATCTCTGACAACGCCTATCAGTTCATGCTGACGGGTGAGTGGCTCAAGTGCTTCTCATACAAATTATTTGACCACCTAGAGTCACAAAGTGTTAAAGCTAAACAGATCTTCGGAGATAATCTAATCCAAGCCCCTGGTTGTACAGAAGAGGTAACTGAAGTGCAGAGGGATATGCCGTCAAAGCTGGAACTAAAACCTAGCTCTCCAGACCCCACCTCCATGATTTTACCAGGCCACGCCTCGGCTCTCCTCTATCCCTTTAAACTTAACTTGCTTGCAGTCTCCTCCTTGGAAATACATAATTTATGGTATAGATTTAAGTAACAATAGTTAAGATTAAGTAATGGCAGAATCACATTGAGTGGAAATGAAAAATATCAGTTCAATCCTTTTGTGCTTAAGTGTCCTGTTGACTACAAATTTGATGCTTTTAGGAGTACTGTTACCTTTAAAGTCATCAGAGACCATCTCAGAGAAGAAAGCCTCTCTTTGAATGAAAATGGTATTTGGAGGCTACATGCACAAAAACAAAATTGTTGTTTTCTCCTCCCTTAAAAGGATTTTTGTTCTGACTGAGGCAGTTCCCTCACCTGATGGCATACTTTTGGCAGGACTGATCAGAGTTAGGGTTGCAGGCTGTGGCCATAAAATACTTCCCCCCACCCCCGCCGCTTCCCCCACCCCGCTTTGTGAGGCCAATTGACTCATTTAGAAACTAAATCTCAACCTTGGCTTGATGAACACTATTTAAACCTATTAAACTACCGTCCAAACCCTTCGTATATTTTGCATTTTTTAGTTGTATGCATGAATTAGCAGAGAGTATGCTACTGAAATTCACACCTGACGAGAGAAGTGTCTGGCTGTGGAAAGTACTAAACCAGGACACACTTACTATGAGGGCTTAAGGAATTTAAGATATAACAACATCTTATGCTTCTCTTCAACTTAAGAGGTTTAAGAATAATACATATAACTTTACAATAATATATTTTAAAACTCCATTTAAAATGACACAGTATTTATACTCAACACCCCAAGTGTTTCCCTATAGAAAGTTCTGTTTGCATAACTGGTATGATGCTGATTGTCCACTGTTTTTCTTCTAGATCGGGAGAATCAGTCCATCTTAATCACGTATGTATTACTATTCTGGGATGTATTAGTATTTTATTTGCACTGGGAAAACGACAAACTAAAAGAAATTAGTTAGTGCCCCCATATTGAAGCAATGCTGGTCAGCCTGGAACTGGATACTGTTTGTACTTTGTTGTAGGGTTCAGACTGCATCGGAATATAAAATAACAATGTCCTAAACTTTGTAATTTACTAGTCCAGTCTTAAAAGCTGCCCAGAACTTTCCTAAGAGTAGGGGCTATAAACCCTTTCTCTGTGCACGGCCAGGACCCGTTACATGGCAGTGAACAACATATACAGCCTTCTGAACGTTGAGCCGTTGGGAATGTTCCCAGTGGCCCATCTTTAAGGCCTCCTTGAGAAATGTCTAGTCCTTCAGAGGCTTCACTTAAGCCATGTCTTTAGTCTAAGGAAACTGAAGAACATACGTATTGTTTATCACAGAGTTTTTTACAGTTTCATTTCCCATATAGTCATTGGGTGGCTGCCTTTTGGACCTTTCAAGTTCAGGCCACAGCACTTGGAACAGAGCCTGGCACATTTTCCAGAAATATGCATTAGGTGATTAATGAATGAATTTCCCTACTTCTTGTCAGTGCAAAACAACATAAGTAATATGAGCTATAGTAGGCTGAAGAGAAAGAGCTAGGAGAAACTGACAAAGACATATAAAGATGGATGCATAAGGTAGTAAATGCTGATGATGGAAGTACTTTCATTTGTCACATAGCTTAAATCCTCATGTATGTTTGGTCTCTGTTTAACAGTGGAGAATCTGGTGCGGGCAAGACTGTGAACACCAAGCGTGTCATCCAGTACTTTGCAACAATTGCAGTCACTGGGGAGAAGAAGAAGGAGGAAATTACTTCTGGCAAAATACAGGTGGGTCTGGGGTCAGACTCAAGACTCTGAGCGCTCTCAGGAATTCTGGAGCCCCAGAGGTGAGGGCTGCTCTTGCCTTTGCAGGGGACCCTTGAAGATCAAATCATCAGTGCCAACCCTCTACTAGAGGCCTTTGGCAACGCCAAGACTGTGAGGAATGACAACTCCTCTCGCTTTGTAAGTCTCCTGGTCACAGAGGGATGTTCTCAGCCCTTCTGTGCCAGAGAAAGCACATCTGAATTATCATTTCCATCTCATTTTTCTCGAGTGCTTCAAGTTTTGTATATAACATCATCATTTTTACTTGCAAGGGTAAATTCATCAGGATCCACTTCGGTACCACGGGAAAACTGGCTTCTGCTGATATTGAAACATGTGAGTAACAGGACCTCCTAAACAGAATCCAAGAATGACAAATGATGGTCTGGAGGAATATTTTGCAGCTCCTGCTGAGCCCGGAGCCTGTGAAACACCAGTCTGGTGCCAAACATGCCCATGGTTAATGCCAGTCTTATCCACAGCCCACAGTGTGCTTTATCCCAGTCATGAGCTAATGATTCTGTAAGAACTGCCAAAAGCCATGGGGCTTGTCTGAGATATTCCAGTCTCAGAATGGATTTCAACTTTCTCTAAGACAACACTCCACTAGGGTAAATGAGTTGTCTTCAGGTTGAGAATAGGTGATTTCTTCGTAGCCTGAGACTTGATAAATGTTGCTCTTAGTGCTCTCTCTGTTATAAAGCAAGAAAAGACTCTGAGGAGGGAGGGGTTCTCAAGAATCAATTATATCGAGGGCACCTGGGTGGCTCAGTCGTTAAGCGTCTGGGACCATGACCTGAGCCGAAGGCAGACGCTTAACGACTGAGCCACCCAGGCGCCCATAAATAAAATCTTTAAAAATAATAATAATGATCAATTATATCCCCAATGTCAAGGATCTTCTGCAAGAGAAATGTCGATGTCTTGGGCCAGGCATGCTTTAGTTTCCTTCTAGAGGTGGTAAGAGCACCCGTAATGGTGTTTGTAGAGGCAAAATATGTAGCCTATGTTGTAGAGGCACAACATTCAGCTGAAATCTCAACAGGCCAGTGAGATTTTTTAGTTAATTATCCCAAATTCCAAAATCAGTTCCGGAACTTTATAATTTTTCCCCCCTGACCAGTGTCTTCTTTTCATTGCAGATCTTCTGGAGAAGTCTAGAGTTACTTTCCAGCTGAAGGCGGAAAGAAGCTACCACATTTTCTATCAGATCACGTCTAACAAGAAGCCAGATCTAATTGGTAAGAAGGAGCTTAAATGTATAAGGCAGAAGTTAATCATTTTATTAACAACTTCTAATGTAAAACACATACCCTGAATTCTATGTACCCAGAAATGCTCCTGATCACCACCAACCCATATGACTATGCCTTTGTCAGTCAAGGGGAGATCACCGTCCCTAGCATTGATGACCAAGAAGAGCTGATGGCCACAGATGTAAGTTACACATACAGTTGTTTTTTTTTAAATCCATTATGTATGGGAATAACAATAACACCCCTCTATAGGCATGGTTAAGGATATGGTATAAATTCTCCTAAATGAATTAGTGTCTTCTGCCCTTTTGTCCTCTCATCTTTCCTGGTAGAGTGCCATTGACATCCTGGGCTTCACTCCTGAAGAGAAAGTCTCCATCTACAAGCTCACGGGGGCTGTGATGCATTATGGGAACATGAAGTTCAAGCAGAAGCAGCGTGAGGAGCAAGCCGAGCCAGACGGCACTGAAGGTAATACAGACAAAAAGCTCATTCCAAATTCATGTCTTCTTTACAGTTGAGCTTCTGATGAATGTATGCAAATTCACCCTCATACAGACTTTCTATAAAATGTTTCACTCATCACTCTGCCCTGATGAATTGTGGGGCCCACAGTAGGTCATGTGGGGTGCGTGAATTGTGTCTCTGCAGTTGCTGACAAGGTGGCCTATCTCCAGAGTCTGAACTCTGCTGACCTGCTCAAAGCCCTCTGCTACCCCAGGGTCAAGGTCGGCAATGAGTACGTCACCAAAGGCCAGA